TTCTATTTTTCTTTCTTTCTATTTATTGCAGCAGCTTACTGTATAAATATGCCAATTGGCAATAGAATGAAACATATCAGTATTCTACCATTCCAAAACAGGAAGAAGAGAAGAGAAGAGAAGAAGAAGAAGAAAGGGAAGAAGAGAGTTGTCGAGAGGGGTGTGTGTGTGTGTATCACTGTTTACACCCTCAAAAGAATACATTATAATCTGAGAAAATAATAATTACAAGAAGGCCCCTATATGGGTGCCAAATACTGAGAGAGTATAAGAAAGGAGAAAAATACCAAAAACACCCCTGTCTATCCATTCTTAACAAAGAGGTTGGCTCTATGGTTTTAGTTATAACTTATTCTACTTTAGGATCATGGATCAGATATTAGTTGTGCTTTTGTTGCATTTGAGTGGAAATTTCACTATTCCTATTTGCAAGAACAAAGGCTTCGGTTATTTAAAAGGTCTTTATTTTTGTTAATAAAAATTAATAGACTGTTACTAGTGTACAAGCAGCAATAAAGGTAATATATAAGTTGATAAACCATTGCAGAGGTGCAAAACACATAATAATCTACAAAAGATAACCAAAAAAAGGTGTGCACCTGGGCTGAGGTGGAAGGTGCACTGGGCATACACCTTTTGAAAGGGGTTACACCTGGATTCAGGCAAGATGCATACCTTAAAATGCACCTCAGAGGCACACCTTCTAAAATAGTGTTTGCTCATTAATTGGTGTGTGGTGGGGTTTACTTTGAATTATTTTGTTACATTGTATCATCAGTCAACATTCAGTCATAATCAGTCACACAAGATATTTTCTTCATGGCCTTCTTTTGTTGGTAGTAAGAAAGCAAAAATAGCTTGAGCATGTAGTCCTTTGCAGTATGTAGGGGCATTATGAATAGAGGAACAAACATATATTTGAAGAAAATAAAATATCAAATTGAAGAATAGGCTGATATTTGTTTGTTAATGGTGGATCAGTTGTTGGTTCATCCCCAATTTGAATGTGTCAATAAAGGGGTACTAGGGTTTATTGTTGGTTAATTTTGTATATTACTGGGGACAATACGTAAAGGAAGATTCACTTGTTTATTTTATGTATTTTATGAGGGTGAAACCTCTTCACCTGTTTCTAACTCCTTTTTTCTTTTACTGAAATTTTACTTTACAATCAAAATATACAAAATCAAGAAAAAATAGACAAAACCTCAACATTAAACAAATAAAAAAAGGCAAATCATGAGAAGATCTTGGCCCTGACCTTCCCAAACAGCTGATCCCAAAACGCGTAGGCTCCTCTGATGTGAACAAAATCACCTCCAATGATTTTTTAGGCTTGAATCCAGACCTGTGAAATTCTTATTCACTCGATTAAAATTAGCTGTATGGAATTAAGTGCTTTAGAAGAGGCTATACCAAAGGAGAAACTGCATATACTTTCAGCATCATGATGCTTTCAATTACAACAAATGCTCCAAACAAAATTCTTAATTGGCATAAAACAGAGAAAATGAAGAAGGCAAAGCTACTAATCTCAAGAATAGTTTACAACAAATAACCCTGGTCCAGGTTGACCCCAAGTAACCTGCTCCCTATTAACCCCTGACTTGGAAACAGAATCAGCCATAGTATTTGCATACCTAGGAAGCTGCCACAACATTTTTGTTAATTTTTAACCAAGGACAACAAGAACAAAGTTCCATGTAAATATGGAACTTAACTGTTCTTCTGGGATTTGGGCTATAATAGGGCAATATCTAGGAGCCTGCCTAGGCAGAAAAGTTCTAAACTAGTCTGCTAAGCTTTTCTGCCTTGAGAGACTTGCTTCCTCATCATAGAACCAAGCCAATATTGGGCAGTACTGTGATTTTTTTGAGATCTGCCTCAATTGACCTACTTTTCTCATTTTCTGTGTTTTTTTTTTTTWTTTTTCTTCAGATTTGGTTCATGGTGGAAGGTGACCCAGCTTATGCCCAACCTAATTATGACAGTAAAAGGGATTAAGGCACAACAAACAGCATCTGACATGCAGTTGATGTCTCTGGAAAAAAATGTCTAATATTACATGTCTCCACAATTTTGAGATATGTCTATTAAAAGATATGGAAGAACAATGCTAAATAGTCCAAAAACCTTTTTTTTTTTGCTAAAATTCTTATAAAATATCCATATTTTAGGAATTTAACAGTACCAAGAAGATTTAGCCATAGGCACAAATATTATTCTCCCTTGAGTTAACACTACCTTCATATTACCCCATAAAACCTCTTTGTTGTACTTAGGAGACATACACACCTTCTTAGCACATTAATTGCCTCAATTGCACCCAAAACACCAACAACTCCATCATACTTTCCAGAGTATGGAATAGCATCGATGTGAGAACCTGTTGCTACTGCTGGAAGCTCTGGTTCATAGCCTTCCCTGCATTAGAGTAGAAAAGAAAACAAGGGGATACACAGGGCATTCAGACAATATGAAAGTAACACAGAAATAATCCGACTCAAGAAATAGCATGGGTAATGCTAGAAAATTATTCCAGGACCTAAATAGCTGACTAGAACAAGGAGATTCATTTGTAACTAAAAAATGTGAGAAAATATAAACTGAATCTTAGAATAACCAACAGAAGGAACTCAAATTCAGGAGCTATGAAAAGCTACATAAAACATGAATGTCTAACACAAAGAAAAGGTACAGTTTAACTAAATGATCACTTGTAGGTTGTTAAGTCCTTAATTTTGCTGGACTGGGAGCAGGTTATTAAGGTGCTCCCAATCACATCTTAAAAAAAGGAAAAGGGGCTTTCTTCCCAGCTTGATCTTTTAAGCTCAGTCAGTCCTATGGGTGGGCTGAAATAATTTAAAAAAAAAGGGGGCATGCAGTCCATTTTAGTGAACAGCAGGCCCTAAATTAATTGGGCCTTATTTATAATGCAGTAAGCATTTAATGGGCCTGCAGTAAAGCCCATTTAATGGGACAGTAGGCCCTAAAAGAATTATATTTTATACTAATTAATAATCTACTGAGGTGTCCTACCTATTTATAAAGGGGATGCTGCTTGTCTTATCCTAACAAGAGGGCTATTTTCCCTCCTTTAGCCACTTAAAGTGGGGTGGTGACACATGTCACCCTCAGAAAGGAAGGCTCTTTTCCCTTTTTCCCTCCTCTAGCCACTTTAAGTGGGGTGACACATGTCACCCTAGGAAGAGGGAGTTATTTTCCCTCCTTTAACCACTTTAAATGGCGTGACACATGTCACCATAGGAAGGAAGAGTTTTCTTTTCCCTCCTCTAACCACTTTAAGTGGGGTGACATGTGTCATCCTAAGAAGAGGGAGTTATTTTCCCTCTAACCACTTTAAATGGGGTGAAACATGTCACCCTGGGAAGGAAGAGTTTTCTTTTCCCTCCTTAACCCATTTTAAGTGGGGTGACGCTTGGCACCGCAAGAAAAGAGGGGTGGGAAGTTCCTAACCACCTCCTTCCTCTATATAAACCCTTCTCCTTAACTCCTTGTAGGAGAGAGGGCTAATGCCATTTTATTAGCTAATGCTACTCTATCAACAGAATTTCTAGCTACAAGAGACAAACAAGAGGAGAAAGAGGAAAAGATTGTGGTGTAAAGAAAAGGAAGAAAAAGAGAAAGAGGAAGGTAGGGATTGAAGTATTCCTCCACCTCTTCATTATGATACTCCCACAACTTCGTTTATGAGAACTATGTCTTTCCTTCTACTTTCACCCTTTTTTTTCTATATTGTTATTTTTTCTCTCTCCTTGTCTCACATTTAATCATATGTGAGGGAGACAACCATCTATAGCCTTGTTTGATGAAACTTGGCTGATTATAGTTCATCACACCATATTAACCTATAAAATCATTACTTTATGTGAGGGATCTACAACCTTGTTAATGAAACTTGGCTAATAATGGTTCCTTACACCATATTAACCTATAAAATCAAGGGAGAAAACCATCTATAGCCTAGTACTTAAAAACTTGGCTGATTATGGTTCCTCACACCATGATAATGTACATAACCATTAATTTAAAGGCCATCTACAATCTTATCTATGAAGTATGGCTACTTATGATCCCTATTTGCTCATTATGCATTAAAAAAATTATTTATTTATATATGCTGGTTTTCTCTCAAATAAAGAGGGAATATATACAAGAATTTTTAAAGGAAAAATCCATAGGAAAATTCTACTTGGTTTAGTTTATCCATTTGTACTTCTAAATAAGAGAACATCTATGTGTTTTCCTGAATGGGACTTACCCAAATATCAAAAAGCCTAGTTACTAGTCTAATTGGGTGAATTATGTTATGTGTGAAATTATACTAAACATTTTCCACTAACACAGGTGTAATATCTGGTTTCAAGGTACAAGCAAAATGAGTTTTACCACTAACTGAAAATGAAATTTCTGGGAAAAAAAATCCTCTCAGTAATACCAAAATCTCAGGAGTTTAAACCTAAAATCGAAGAGCTTGCTGAAGGCAACTTAACAAATTAAAATGTTGAATCAAGRTACCTGTGCAGGTATAGTAAGCTTTGAAGAGAGATCAACTCTATCTAATGCAGCTCACACATGGCCATGATGTCATGCATTGCAGTGAACATAAAAACTAAAGATCTTTTTGTTGAATATCTTTTCTTCTTCTTTTTTATTGGAATCTTGTTGTTGAATATCAGCAATTTAATTTCATGTGCTCTTTGCTTGTACATCCTTTTGTTTCATTTGAAAGTGGGCAGGTGGCAGTGGCACCTCATCACCTTTTTCTTGTATCTTCACTCCTCGTTAATAATAAATTCCTTTTTTACCTTCTGGCAAAAAAAAAACCCATCTTTGGAAAACACAACATTCTAATGGATTTGAAACACTAATATGAACTCCACTTTTTTCTTTTTAATTTGGAACTAGGGAAGTAGATTTTTTCCTATAAGAAAGCAAATCAAAGATAGAGAAAGTCAAAATGAGGATACCTTCATGAGCTTATCTATTTCTAAAACCAAAGAAAACTCCAAAACCATGTTGGCACAAGCAGTCAAATATTACATGACAAAAGATATATACCAAGCACTCACCATCTACCAAATATGTTACCAACTGCATCCTCTCTAACAGAAAGACCAGAGAATCCCATTAGATTCTTAATATACCTGCAATTACAACCCAGCGAATACATTTTAGTGAACTCAGAAGCTGACTGCCCTTAAAACAAGACATATACATGTATGCAGATATAAACACAAGATATGTACATTATGGAATCTGTGACTACTTTAAACATAATAGAGTCCAGAATTTCATTTACTTAAATTTTTTTTGAACTCCAGAATTTTCATTTACTTAAACATTGGACAGTAAGAGTCGCAAAATAGGAAAATGACCATCCATTCAAAATTGTTATTCAATAGGCCTATTTGGGTTTCTTCCATTTTGTTCATTTGTTGATTGTACAGGAAAGTGAAATACTATTGTGGTTCTGCACTGTCAACAGGGAAAAAAAAAAAAAAAGATCACATCCCCAGAGGCATCACCTTCTCTACAAACCCATCCTACTTCCCACTCATTGGGTAACTTTGTATAATTTTTTTTCCATCCATGCCCTCTTCCTCTTCCTCTTATATTCAATGATCCTACTCATTCCGTTAAGGACAAACTACTGAGGAACAGTTAGGTTTAGACTAAAAAGAAGTGAAAGGATATATTCCTTCAAAAGGAAATTGACTCATATCAACCGTCAGCTTGTTTAAGTATTTATTTCCCATTTAATCAACTACACGTAATTTACTTACCTTAAGAAAAGATAGCATGTATTAGTTCATATATTAATAGCTTTAGTCCTTATTAACCTCTATCTCCTTTTGGAGAAGACTTCAATTGATCAGCTTCCTCTTTATCAGTTACTACGGAAGATGCAAATCTCAGGATCATTCAAAAGTGAAAGAAGTCAAGATTTAAGAGCTGATTGCCTTGGAGAGAAAATCTAGGATTTGATCAACTAACCAAAGAGACAAAAACAGGATGCAGACATTGTTGCCTAGGGTTTTAAGATTTTTTTTTATTTTTTTGAAGATCAATAAAGAAAAAAAAAATTCCTGAATGCGGCTGCAAATCCTTCATAATTTAAACATGAGGAATGCAGCTCTTCAAGGATTTCTTAAGGTAACTTTTAACTTTAGCACATGGAGAAACTGATTTATGGCTTGAAATTGACCCATTGAGCTTAATTTGATTTGTTCCATACACATTGGATTTGAGAGTAATACATCAGAATTTAAAGGCAAGTGTCAATAGTTGCTTGGATGTGTGTCTCAGGTTCAGGTCAAACGTCCAATACTTGCATGTTTATAGAGAAGCTAACTCTGCTGCGGATTGGCTGGAGAATGCTGGGCACAAGGATCCAAATCTTGCTRATATTTGATCTAACTGGAATTTTTCTTATATCTGTGGTGTAATTTGTGGTGTCAGACTACCCAAAGGCTTAGCCCCTCCTAGTTCTTCTTTCTTCTTAGCCAAAAAAAAAATACTACTACATCAGATGACTCAGATTTCATATTTCATTGAATATGATCAACTCTCCACCACTACCTCTATGAGGTTAAGAGTTAAAACATCCTTTAAGCAACAGTTTCAGCATCAAAGAACTTAGCCTTCTAAAGTACTTCTTTGTGATTGTAGCTACAGGTCAAAGAGGAGAAATATTTATTTCTCAATGAAAGTCTATTCTAGGTATTTTAAGTAATGTTACACAGAGCTGAACTTGAAGAGTCATCAATAGAGAATAATCAGTGTCTATGCAATCAGAAGTCCATTATTCTTAGTCATCCAGACATAGAGATTGGTTTTAAAACTCATATGATTGATTATCAGTCATCTGGAATCTGGACATAGCATATGCTATCAATAGGACAAATCAATCTATGTAAGCTCCATGATCTTGCAATCCTGATAAAGTATATAATGTCCTGTGCCATTTAAAGTCAGCTTTAGATAAAGTTCTATTGTACTGTAGAGTGTAGACATGATCATTTGGGTATTGTAGGGAATTCTCGTGCCAACAGGCCAAATCTTCAAATAAAATCTATAAGTGGATTTTTCACTACTTTGCTGGATTCTAGTGATGAACCTTTTGAATTCCATTTTTCTTTCACTTAATACTTGCACAACTAAAAGGAATATCTAGAGATTTTAGTATATACTAAAAAAAGGTGCCCATGGAGGCATGACAAGTGGCAACAGGATTTTTCGATGTATGAGAAAGTATGAAAAAAAAGACAAATATGGGATCAGCTACACGAATCTTGTTTTGCCATTTTGTTGGGTTCAGTGCCATGAAAAGGCAAAACAGGATCCATGAGAATTTGGCAAAAGTTTTAGTGCCAGCTGCCAACCTGATGTAACCCTCCTCCTTTATCCAGGCTTGGGAGTTGGGACCGAAGTTTAAGACAAGCTCACAAAGTACAAATCGCTACTGTTAACCTTATTATCTTTTACTGCAATTTCACAGGTTGTAATGAAGTCAGATAAGCTTAAATCTTTAACTATCACATGCAAGCATGAATACGAATGTTACATATAAAATATATGGATATATGATAAAATCAATGACTGGTGATATCTTTTGCACTGCTTTATTTCCCAAGTTAAATTACCAAGGCCCCAAGGCCCGGCTAGATCGACAGAATCACCAAAATAGATAATGCCAGTAGTACCTACGAGCATGAACATCCTTCTCACTGTATAGGATCCTGGTTACTGACGGAGCAGGCGTATCAGAGAAAGTTGACAGTTCGTCAATCTACCAAACAAAAATAATTAAACCTGCGTCATATACTCCATTGCAATAAATTCAAATAAAGGATAAGCAATGAAATGAAACACCCACTTCACGAAATCTTCGAGGCATCACCCCAATTGCCCAAAACCCCGGAAAAAAAAAACCCAATCAAACAGTATTATCTGCAAAACATTAATGATTATAACTTTTCTTTTGCAAAATACCCATCTTAAAATGGAAATCAATATCATAAACCAACTTCATATAAGCTATCGTAATTACTAGAAAGGCAAAAAGGATGCAACTATATCCTCAATTCAGAAACAGTAGGAACTTCAAACCGCTCACAAAATTAAAACGTAATAAACCCTCAGAGAAGTGTAAAAAACAATATATAATAAAAACAAAAAAAAAAACTCTGAACTTGAAATAGAAACAAAATATAACGAAGAAACGAATAAGCAAACCATTACCTGTCGCTGTAAGCTTTCCTTGTCAACTGACATTGAAGATAAAGAGTTCGAAGTGCATGACTGGGATTCATGGCTCCCATATCCTGAGAATCCTTCCATAATTTTCGTTGTTGGGTCTTCATCACTGTGAACTACGACCGAAGAGAAGACGGAGGAGACGATGAGCAGAAGGCGAAGAACGTTGGGGAATCTCATACTCCGAGCCACCTGTTCCAATTTGGATGCTTCTGTCTGTTCTATTCAGCTTTTAAGTAATCTGAGGAGCACTAGGGGCGCCAATAATTAACAATCTCTATAATTACTAATCTACCCCTACATTAGTGGTTAACACGTGGTCTCCTTTTTGGGCCATCACTTAGCAGAATGATCACATCCGTTGGATTTGATTAAATTAGGTAGATTTATCAGACGGTTGCGATCTGATACGACTCGAGTTCTGGACCATTAGATCTTATGTTGCGGGCCCAATAAATTTGTGGAAAGGCGGGAACACTTGTAAGTTGTAAGTTGTAACGACTACTAGGCTCCGCTGCGAGCTGCTTACAGCTTCTCCTGGAAGCAGTCATGAAGGAAGCCAGGCACACCTGCTTGAGACTTGAGATCAAAGGGGGAGCAGAAAACGAGCGAACGGACGTGATCTTCGTCAAAGGCACCTGGTTCGAGTCTCACTTCGACCTTGCCATTACTAATGGACTCCATACTTGGATTTGCATCGGTAGCCCCTCTTTCTCGTGCTCACCCTTTTCTTTTCTAGGAGGAAGATTAAAGAAATGAAAATTGAAGGTTAATTTTCTGATTCATTCTGTAATTTGTATAGCGCCGGAAGGTGAGGTTCGGGAGAGAGCGAGCCAATGGGACCAACCGGTCTCCGAATACATTGAGACCGCCGAGAGGTATCTAGGGTTTCAACAGCCAGGCTCCACTTACAGTTTCGTGGATGCTGGAAATGGACAGAAGAGAGTTAGTATTCAATACTTTTATCTGAATAATTTATATATTCCGCAGTTGGTATTCTATGGCAAGAAAAATGATTTTAATAGAACTGATAAAAAAAAAGGATTATAATAGAAGCATGTTTTACTTTATTTTATACYTTTAGATGTAAAGAATAAAAATATTAGAACAAGAGTAGGCGTTTCGGGGAAGAACATCAAATTCTCCGTCCTAATACTTGCCATTAGGTGTTTATGATACATTCAAGGTACTGCATGTTGTTCTAAATATTGGATGAAAGCACCTGACAGAAATTGCTTTTGATTCCCACACAAGCTGATGGTCAATAAAAGTTTGGATAAAACTATATAGTAATTGGTAAAGACATTTAATGAAAAAGCCAATTGTTTAATTCCACGAAGCAATGGAAAATTGATATCCTGACTACGACATCTGGCTTCTTACAATTATTACTGAGGTTGATGAAAAAAAAAACAAAAACTAACAACAAAACAGAAAACTGTTATCTGCAACCTGTATCCATTTTAGTAAAATATTCAATTTCTTTCCTCGTCTATATTAAGTGATGATCAAGTTTAATATGTTACTATCCTTGGGTGTACTGTCAATGTTTGGCCTTTGAATTACTTCAGTATTCCACTAGGTGCAAACCCAAAGTTGATAGGATTTTAGAACCCAATTGTAGAAAATCTTGCTAGGAAATTCGAAGTCTAGAGGAGGAATTATATCTCTATGGGAAGTAGAATTACTTTGATTAAGTATACACTTTCCAACCTTCCAGTTTATTTCTTTTCTATCCTTAGAATCCCCCATAAGGTGGTGAGTAGGCTAGAAAAATTGATGAGGGACTTTTGTGGGAGCCGGGAGAGGGAAGAAAGGATCACTTGGTAAAATGGGATGTGGTGTCTAATAGTAAGAAGGAAGGTGGTGTAGGAATAGGGAATCTTGTTCGGGAAGTGGTTATGGAGATGGCCGGTTGAAAAGGATAGGTTGTGGGCTAGAACGGTGGCAAGCATACACGGGGTGTCACGTAATGGCTGGGATGCTGGTATATCTGCAAGGGCAATGCTGGCTTCGCTGTGGAGAGCTATTGGTAGCCTACTTCCTCTCTTCTTAAGTCATACCAGGTATGATGTATGTTCTAGTAGCTGTCTTATTTTGGGAAGATGTTTGGATTGGTAATTCTGCACTGAAAGATTTATTTCCTTTGTTATACTCTGTCTCTTTGTTTTGTTTTAAAAGGAATTTATTTCTAGATTCCTCTCTCAGCCTTTGATTCCCGTGTCTCCCAATTGGAATTTCAGTTTCGGAAGGGGTTTGAGAGAGAGTGAGGTTGGGGAATTGATTCAGCTGCTTGAAGTCCTGAGGAAAGCTTCTTTTGATTTATTTGTGCCCGATAAACACATTTTTTTATGAATGAAGATAATTTATTAATCCAGAAATTAAGGCAATACAGGAAACCCATGAAGGGGMACGAGCTGTTACCTCTTCTAGCAAAGTATTACATCAAATTAAAACAGGAATAAACAGAAATAAAATTACATAGCAGCCCAAAATAAATGATCCCTTGAAGCCCCTTGCTTAGCTAGCCCATTTGCTAAGGTATTTGCTGATCTTCCCACCCAAAGAGAGGTAACTGTCATATTTCTTGTGAGCCAGTTGACTTTCCTCGATAAGTCTGTATCGCCACATAGCTGAAGTTGGCTCTGTCAGCCATCCCACAACAATTTTGGGGTCTCCTTCAACTACCAAATGTTAATTGTTCTTCAATCTGAATACCTTGTACAGCCGCTAAAATCTCATCTCTATTAGAGTCTCCTATTCCCACAGGGCCTGAAAACAAGGCCCCAATAAACACATTTGGATACCACACCCAAGAGGTTTCTTCATTTGTGCATCCTTTTCCAGCTCTCTTTGTACTCCATCCCAGGCTCTTCCTATTCCCTTCAAGGTGGTTTGGTGCAATCCCATCCCCCCTAAGATTCGTGCCTTTTGTTGGGAAGTTTTTCAGGGGGAAATTAATACTATGGATGTTCTGCAAAAACAAGGCCTTATCTTTGTTTGTCCCCTAATTGGTGCAACTTGTGCAAGACTAACGGAGAGAATTCTTACCATCTTTTAGTGTCTTGTCCTTTTGTTAGAGAAATTTGGGATTGTTTCTTTTCTTTCYTTGGGAGCAGGTGGACTATGCCAATGGAAGTCAGAACCTTGTTTGATGGACCAGCAGAGGTGGGGGACTTCAACAAGGGCTGAATTGTTAGCAGTTGTCCAAGGATTACAGTTAGCAAGGGAGCTGAATTTTAACAGATTAATTGTGGAAGGGGACTCCAAGATAGTAGTGGGCTGGCTATAACATCCAGAGATTGTCACTTGACAATTTAGGAATGAGCTCAAGAAGGTTAAATAGCTTGTCACTGGTGCTTCAGTGGTGTTTCAATGGCAAAGGAGATGTGCCAATCAAATGGCTGATTCGTTAGCCAAGCAAGGGGTTATTCAGAATCACTTATTCTGGGCTCAATTGTAATTTGTTTCTTCTGTTTTATCTTTATTGATATAGGATGAGGTGAATCTCACACCTCTCCCTGGATGCTTGTAATATTGATCCTTGTTAATAAAATTCTCTTTACCTATCAAAAAAAATCAAGTTTAATATGTTTTCCATCGGCATGAAGCACTCGTCTAACAGTAAGTTTGACATCAAGGCATCACTTTTGTTGTGGCAATAAATTGCATAATTAGAGATGGAAAATTCTATCTCATGTGGTCTCAACATAGCTGCAAAGACACATTATGATGTGGATGCGTATTGGGAGCAGCAGCAGCAATGATCTGGTGTTCTCATCCTATCCAATTCGGCAGCAACAGTCTTATCCATTCAGCATATTAGATTAGACTATCTTGTTATCTTATCTTATTAAGTTAGTAGATTAGATTATCTTATCTTATTAGATTAGGATTAAGAGAGACTTATCTTATCTTATCAGTCTTATCTTATCAAGATAGAGTTGGAGGTCTYCYTATTCAGCAAGGAGTCTCCCTAAGAGCAGGACTCTTGTAATCTCCTATTTAAGGAGCCACTATTATTGAATAAAGGCATCTAGAATTTCAGTCAAAGAGAAGAGTAAAGGAGAGTTAGGGTGATCTCTTGGACAAATCACCCCTTAGGTCGCCACGATAGGGTCTGCACGAAAAGGGAGGGGCAAGGGGAAACTCGAGGTTCTCCCCGTGGACCAACCCGTGACGAGATCCTACGCCCGGGCCCATAACATTTTGGTATTAGAGCCAAACGTCATGGGCGATATGGAGCAGCTGTCATCCAGGGTCCACGAATTGGAGCACCGGCTCATGGAGAACCACGCAAAAATACGAGAAGTCAAGGATGATGTCCGAGAGCTTTGTCGCTTGCTAGAGTCATATTTCTCCAACAGGGAGAGGAGCCCCAAAGGGATGGCAACCACCAACAGCCGCCGACCAGATTTGGCGGAATCAGCCGGCGAACGACAGATCGTCGCCCCAGCAGCAGCAGTCATTCCCAAGTATAGTAGGTTGGAGTTCCCTTCGTACAGCGGCAGCGGAGACCCACTGGGATGGCTATACCGTTGTGAACAATTCTTTCGCAATCAGCGTACAGAGGAAAGAGATAAGGTCAGTTTGGCCGCATTCCATCTAACGGAGGAAGCACAACTCTAGTTCTACCGAGTGGAGCAGGAGGAACCAGAGCTCAGCTGGGACCAATTCAAGTCCTACTGCCTCCTCAGGTTCGGGCCCCCATTGACAAGCAACCCACTAAGTGAGTTAATCAACCTCAAGCAAACAGGCACCGTGGCTGAATACCAGCGCCAATTTCAGACCCTTCTAGCCAGAGCCGCCTCGGTACGCCCAGATCAGCAGGTGGATATGTTCACTGCTGGATTAGCTGAGCCCCTGAGGGTAAATGTAGAGATGCAGCATCCTTCCAACCTGATCACAGCCATGAATATAGCTCGCGCCTTCGAACGCAAGCTACAACTCAGCCGAGGAACCTTCAGTATGGGGCGGCCTCCATCAGCATGGGCATCCCCGGAACCACTCGGAATGTCTCCATATTCAGCAGCCAGCCAAGAACAGAAGCCACAGACGAGCAACAATTCTAGA